TGTAATTAGGGTTTATGTTTTTAATATTTAAACTACTTTGCATTATAATTTATTTTCTGTTGATGAATGAATAATTATATTAATGGCTTGTGGTAAAAGCTTTTTCTCTTCCTTCATTATTCTTCTCCTTCTTCTTCTATCATCCCTCCCTCTTGATTTCTTCTTCCCGTTAATTGGCCTTTTTAGTCTGCATTTAATATTTCTATTGGTGCTGCAACAGATTGCCACCATCATGGGACAGGCCAAGACTCGGTCTCTGCCTCCTCAGAAGGCGGTTGTTAAAAACACAGCCCCAAGCCAAAACTTTCCTTATCGAAACAAAAGGAGGTTCCAAAGTCGAAAGACAAAAAACCAGAGTCCAAGACAGAAGTGAGGAAGGCCTTTGCTAGTTTATTTAAGCAAGAGACAATCTATGTCGATGATGACTAAGAAGATAAGCTGCAATCAACAATCAAATTTTGAGATTGTATTCGATGTCAAGTCCTATAGAATTTGAAATATTGATGCTATGGAAACTTATAAAGGGAGACCTGGTAAAAACCATTATTTTCCTGCAATCTGTCATTACTTTCGTATATTAGATTTCAACTGGAAAGTGATCTCATCCTATCTTAATAGATCTTAGTATCTGTAAAATGCAATTAAATAATCGCACCGAACCATTTCCAAAGAAAATCATTAGATCAATTAGCAACTTGATAACGGGAAAATAATGTATATGCTCTATGGAGACAGATCGATGGAGAAGTTTAAAGTTTAAACTTGGAGTTGGAGAGAGAATTTTATGACAGTTTCAAAGAGTCTAACCATAAGTTCATACTTTTCCAAAATATCATCCAAATCGTATTTTGCAAAGTCTTGAATAACCACGAATTGTTTTAGTATAAAAGGCCTAGACTCCATATTGGTTCTAAAGTAGCCTTCACATTTCTAGCTTGAAAATGATAATAAAATCATTTCAGTTCGAAGATGCCTCTTGTGCAAGACATTTCATCAAGCATCTCTTCAATTTCCGTACCTTGATCCTCAATTGTATTTTTCTTCATCTTTCTGAGAATCAAGTTGATGAAAGGGTAAAGAGACGGCAGAAAGCTGTATTCTTATTAATCTGAATTGTCTACATATATATGCTGGAGGGAGCCTTCAGTGATTCCCAAATTAAAGATACAAATTGATATGATGAAACTAAATATGGAAAACATTGGTGTGGATGATTTCATGCAATAATATCGTCCAATTTGTGACATTTTCCAATACGCTCCCTCAAGTTGGAGCATGGAGATCTCGAATGCCCAACTTGCCAACAAGAAAGTGGAATTGGGAATTGCCAAGAGCTTTGGTAAATATATCAGCAAGCTGTCGATCAGAGGAAACATGCAAGGTGGCGATGGAGCCAGATATAATGCAATCACGAATGAAGTGGCAGTCAATCTCGATATGTTTAGTACGTTCATCATGAACGGGATTAGCAGCAATGTGTAATGCAGCACGATTGTCACAATGGAGCTGGACTGGCAAAGAGGTACAGACGGTTAAATCCTGAAGTAAGGAGCGAAGCTAAATGAGTTCACAAGCTGAAGTGGCCATGGAGCGGTATTCAGCTTCGGCTGAAGAGCGGGAGATGATAGTTTGCTTCTTGGTTTTCCAAGAAATAGGAGAACCACCAAGTAGGAGGACAACCATCCCTATCTGAATGACGGTAGGTGTGAAGTTGAAAGTCTGACGTAAAGGGAAGAAAAACACCTTGACCAGGGGCAGATTTTAGGTAGCCCAGGACCCGAAGAACTGCCACCCAATGGCCATAACGAGGTTGATTCATGAACTGGGAAAGGATGTGAACGGAGTAGTAAAGCTCCGGTCTAGTGATGGTTAAGTAGATGAGTCGCCCAACAAGTCGACGGTAAGCAGACAGATCATCAAGGAGGGTGCTGTCATCCGAAGCCAACCTGTGATTTTGCTCCATGAGAAACGAGACTGGTTTTGAACCAAGCAAACCAGCCTCTTGTAGAATATCCAACGTATACTTGCGCTGAGATAGGACAATATCGTCAGAAGAATGAGCCAATTCTAAACCAAGAAAATATTTGAGGGCCTCGAGGTCTTTGATGTGAAACCAAGTGTTCAAATAAACCTTGACAGCGGCAGTATGGTCACTGTCATTGCTGGCAATAATAACGTCATCCACATACATCAGCAGAGCAGTGAATGGGTTGCCCTTGCGATACAAAAAGAGAGAAGTATCAACCCTTGATTGAGTGAAGCCAAAACGGAGAATAGCATTAGAGAAATTGGCAAATCATTGGCGAGATGCCTGTTTTAAACCATAAATGGATTTACGGAGTCGACACACTCGGCCATCATTGGAGGCTAAGTAACTAGGAGGGGGAGCCATATAGATCACTTCATCAAGATCGCCATGTAAAAATGCATTATGGACGTCAAGTTGATGTAAAGTCCATGATTTTGAGACTGCAACAGCTAACAGGGTTCGGACTGTAGTAAGTTTGGCAACCGGGGCAAATGTCTCAGTATAATCAAGTCCTTCAACTTGTGTATATCCCTTGGCGACCAGGTGGGCCTTGTACCGCTCAATTGTACCATCAGAATGATATTTAATTTTGTAGACCCATCTTGATCCAATGACCTTCTTTCCAGGTGGCAATACCTCTAAAGTCCAGGTATGGTTTTGCTCAAGCGCTTTCAACTCCTTTTTCATGGCTTCTTGCCATCGAACATCCCTAACAGCATGTTTATAAGACTTTGGCTCATCATGTTGAGTGATGGCCACAAGGAAACTAGTATGTGGTGAAGAAAATTTTGAATAAGAAAGGAAATTTCTTAAAGGATGGGACGTACCTGAGGAAGCATTATTGGAAGAGGCGAGAGATGGCCTATTACTCTATGGTAGGTCAACATGAAAGTCACAAAAATGAGATGGTAGCTTCCTTACATGAGGATGACATTGAGCTGGTAATGGAGAGGGTTGGTCAGAAGTAGAGGTGTCGGGTAAATCGGTGGTCAAATGGAGTGTGTTGTTATCCATGGAATGGTCAGAACAAGTGGGGTCAGGTACGTGTGGTAGTGGGGATGATGCCACACCCTCATGATCAAGAACGGGCAGGGGCATCGAAGTGGTAGTTGGTGAAACGTGATGTGAAGGCGAAGTTGTAAGTTGGAAAGGAAAAATATGCTCATAAAAGGTTAAATCCCTGGATGTGAAAATTTTGTGCGTGTGTAAATCATACACCTTGTATCCCTTTTGACCATGAGGGTGACCAACAAAGATGCAAGTAGACGCCCGCTCTTGAAACTTATCTCGTGATCGAGGAATGATAGAAGCATGGCAAAGGCACCCAAAAACTCGAAGATGGGAATAATTGGGTTTTTGAGAAAACAAAAGTTCATAGGGACTTTTCCCAGACAATAATGGTGTGGGGGTATAATTAATTAAATATACTGCCATTAAGATGCATTCTCCCCAAATTTTAATAGGTAAATTAGCTTGAAACCTTAAAGCTCTTGCTGCCTCAAGTATGTGCCTATGCTTACGTTCCACCACTCCATTTTGTTGGGGAGTGGCAACACAAGAAAATTGAGTCAAAATCTCGTGTTTTTTACAAAAGGATTGGAATTTTTCATTCATGAATTCAGTGCCGTTGTCACTACGAATTTGTTTAACAACCTTTCCGAACTGTCTATGTATCATAGCAAAGAAGGTAGTCAATCTAGCATAGACTTCGATCCTGGTTTTGATTAGATAAACCCAAGTGGACCTAGTGTAGTCATCGACAATGCTTAAAAAATAATGGGCACCAAATAAAGATGCAGTATGATATGGTCTCCAAACATCACAGTGAATTAAGTCAAAAGATTCATACGTTTTAATAGAACTAGCAAAAAAAGGTTTTCGAGCTCGTTTCGCTCGATGACAAGAATCACAACATTAATTAAATGATTTAATAAAAGCTAGACCTAAATCATTAATGAGGGACATCCTATCAAAGGAAAGATGTCCAAGATGTTGATGCCACAAGAGAAGTTGAGAATTACTGGAGGTGTTGGCTGCAGCTGTAGGAACTTTTATTGGCTGAAAATAATAGAGTCCATCTCGTAACTCACCCATTCCAATCAGCTTCCTCGTGGCTAGGTCCTGTAAGACACAAAATGAAGGGAAAAAAAAAATGAGCAACACAGTTCAAGGATTTGGTTAGTTTACTAATAGATAGGAGATTGCATGTAAAGATAGGTATGTATAGAACATCATTCAAGGTAATAAGAGAGTTAAGAGAAACGTCTCCACAAGACATGGCTCATAGGAATGACTTATTTGGGATTTTTATTGGTGAAAAGTGTGACACAGTTTTAGGGTAAGTAAAAGCTCCTTCAACACATGTCATATGGTCCAAAGCACCCGAATCCAAAACCCATTCAATCGTGCTATTGGACAGAGAAGTTGCCTTACTCGCGAAATTGGCGATGGAATCATGTTTCTCATCAAGGTTGAGCATAGATATTAATTGAGCATACTGCTCGTTTGTCAACCCACGGACTAGTATAGTAGTGTTACCAACATCAGCTTCTAGGCAATGTGAACTATTGGCTATTTTCGTTTTGGGCGGCCTCTTCCCTTTCTCCCACCATTCTGGATAACCATGTAGCTCGAAGCAAGTGTCCTGAGTGTGTCTGGGCTTCTTACAATATTCATAGAACTGCTTGGATGGATCACGGTTCCCTGTGTGCTTTTGGCTGCCATGAGGTTTGTTGGAATTGTTGATGCTGAATGTTGCTGTCTCGACAGGAGACATTCTGCCATGAGAATTGTTGGAATTGTTGGTATTGAATGTTGCTCCCTCAACAAGGGGCAATCTGGATGTAGTTACTAGCTGTTGGTGTTCTTCTTGTGCTTCCAGTCCATAAATATGGGACAATGAAGGTAATGGTTCCGTGTTTAGAATTTGAGATCGCACGGTATTATACCTTTCATCCAAACCCATTAGAAACTAATGTACCTTCTCTTTTTCTCGTTCCACAGCAAATGCTTTTGCAGAGCCACAGGTACAAGCTGGAATTTGAGAATATGTGCTAAGCTCATCCCAAATCCCTTTCAATTTGGTGTAATATGCTGAAATGGTCAGTCCCTGCTGTAAGGTATTCACCATTTCGGTCTTCAATTGATGAATACGAGGGGCATTGCCTTGCGAGAAACGTTCTTCCAGGTCATTCCACATCTCGTGTGCCGTTACGAAATAGGCTACACTATCGTGAAGTGTAGGGTGAAGAGTGTTAAAAATCCACGAAATTACCATGGAGTTGCGTTTGATCCAAGCCGATTCTTCCATCGAACTAGGTGCTGGACGCTTGACGGATCCATCCACAAATCCAAACTTACTCTTGGCTTGAAGTGCATTTGTCATTGCCCTACGTCATGTAGGATAATTATCTTCCCTGAGCAGACATGTCACTAATGTCGTCCCTGGATTGTCAGAGGAGTGGAGGACATAAGGTGATGAAGCATCGTAACCTGATTGGTTGTTGTTGGATTGGTTGCAACTAGAGTTATTACTTGAAGCATTGAAAGCCATAGGAAAGGGGATTTCTTTTGCCATAGGAAAATACCCTAGGATTCCAACTGCTCTGATACCATGTTAAGACTTAGGGTCCATCTTAATAAGGTCAACCTTATTAAGAGGAGTGGCCCAAAATCTATTTAAGTTGGTCAATATTTCGATATTTAATCAATGTGGGATTTATTCCCTTAACATGCCCCTACAAGATGGTGGCTCTTTTTGAGCAGACCAATATTGAAATCCATGTGCTCATTTTTTGAGACTTAATCGGATCGAATAGCTCGTTGGAGCTTATTGGGTTCTGATACCATGATGAAAGGGTAAAGAGACGATAGAAAGCTGTATTTTTATTATTCTGAATTGTCTACATATATGTTGGTGGGAGCCTTCAATGATTCCCAAATTATAGATACAAATTGATATGATGAAACTAAATATGGAAAACACTAGTGTGGATGATTTCATGCGATAATATCGTCCAATCTGTGAATTTTCCAATACAAGTCTGTGTTTGTGAAAATTATTGTTCTTCGGTACTTTTAAATTTTAATGTTGTTTTCTAACGGTGACTAATTCTCTTATAATTGCTATGAATATACAGAAAAAATTGAGGTTGCTCAATTATTTTAGCTTTCAATGTTAATCTTAACACTATCAACACAAACTAGCAATATCGGAAAGTGAGAGAAAAAAGCATAGCACACTAGACAACACGAGAACATAGTAAAGGTTGGTTTTACTCAAAATAAAATCGAATCATTCTCTATTATCATGGTAAACAAGATTGAGCATTGTATTATTCGAAGCATAAAAGTTGCTATGATGATAAGAATATAAGTGTAAAAACCCTAAACAAGCAAAAATATTGAAAAAAAGTGCTCGAACATAATGTTAAACAAGGTAATAATTGTATGATGTAACATAAAAATTGCAAAACCCGATACTATGAAACTTAAATAAGAAAAAGACTAAACTACCAATAATAAAGAAACCTATAATATACTATCTAACCTTCGAAGGTACAGTAATACACGTTCATTAACTTTTTAGGGGAATCTCAATTGGATCACTAAATTTTAATTTGTCCAGTTTTGGATTTGAAGGCAAGAAAAAATTGGGAATTATATTACCAGAAATCTTCAATCTTATTGCCTTAAAAGTTACTGTAGATTACATTCCAATTTATACATACTAGAGGACTCAGGGGATTGCATCAGAATAAATGTGACTATTACATATCCAAGAAGACTCTTTAAATTACTCAATCAATTGTTGGAATACTAGTAGACACTTGACTAAAAATAAAGTTCTAGTAAATGATTTTGAATTCATCAGTGATCATTAATTTGGTTTATTTTCCAACATTGCCTCCCGTAAACTAAATTTGCTTTTCATTCCAAGTCTCGCAAGCTGTTTCTTGAAGTTTTGACCTCCAATTGGTTTTGTAAATACATCTGATACTTGATCTTCTGTTTTGCAGTATTTGACTTGAATTATTCCATCTTGAACAAGCTCTCTCAAGAAGTGATACCTCATACGAATGTGTTTGGTCCTCCCATGTAGAACTAGTTCCTTTGTAACAGAAATTACTGAATTATTATCACACAAAAGAGTTGTAGGAGCATCCTGCTTGTGATTTAGATTCTCCAAAATCCCTCGTACCATACAATTTGGCAGCTAGCAAAAGATGCCACAATATATTCAGCTTCCGTTGTTGACAGAGCAACAATTGGTTGTTTCTTCGAACTCCAACAAATTACTCCACTTCCAATGCTAAAGGCATAACTCGACGTACTTTTTCTATCATCAACACTTCTAGCAAGATCACTATCAGTGTATCCAAAGAGTGTAATTGGAACATTTGCTTGATAAAAAATGCCATAATCAATTGTCCCCTTCACATATCGTAAAATTCTTTTAGCAGCTTCCCAATGTTCTGAATGTGGTGCTTCCATGAACCTACTTATTAAACTCACAGCAAACATGATATCAAGTCTTGTGGCTGTGAGATACGTTAGATTTCCCACTAAGCTCTTGAACATGGTGGTATTAATAAGCTTTCCTTCTCCTTCCTTTCTGAGTTCCTGGCCTAAGATGCATGGAGTTGAAACAGGATTTGCAAATTCCATCTTAAACCTTTTTAGAATCTCTCTAGCATACTGCTCTTGAGTAATAAAAATTCCGCTTTCAGATTAGTGTACTTTAATACCCAAAAAATGATGTAGTTTTCCCAAATCAATCATATTAAACTCTTTCATCATCAAGTCTCTAAAATTATCCAACATGGCCAGATTATTTCCAGTGAAGACAAGATCATCAACATAAAGACTTACAATAATGAAACTTCCATCAGAACCATTTTTGATGTAGAGAGTATGTTCATGTGGACTTCTATGAAAACCATTTGTTTCAAAAAAATGCATTGATTCTACTATACTAAGCCCTTGGTGATTGTTTTAAACCGTATAAGGCCTTTTTCAACTTGTAAACTTTATGCTCTTCTCCCTCTTTCACAAAACCAGGTGGTTGTTCAACATAAATCTCTTCTTCAATAAAACCATTTAAAAACGTAGATTTAATATCCATTTGCAAGGGCTTCCAGTTATTTTGAGCAGCTAGAGAAATTACAAGCCGAATAGTGTCAAGTCTAGAGACCGGGGCGAATACCTCATTGTAGTCTTCTCATTTTCTTTGCACATACCCCTTTGCTACAAGCCGAGCTTTGTGTTTGTTGACTGAATTGTTTGGATTCAGTTTAGTTTTGAACACCCACTTTACTCCTACATGCTTCTTGTTTGGTGGCAGATTTGTTAGCTCCCACGTATTGTTCTTTTCAATGGCATCAATTTCTTCCTTCATGGCATTTCTCCATTTTTCTTCTTTGATTGCCGCTTCATATAAAATTGGATCCTCACCTGCAAAAAATTCAAACAAAACAGCACCTTTTTCATGAGTAGGTTTTGTAGACTCATAGATTTTTTGCAATCTTCTCATTTTTGTTCTTGGTGGCTCTTCATCATAATCTTCTCTTCTAGAAGAATTTGGAGGTGAAAGGGATCCACAACTTAAAGAATTGTCACAATTTCATTTGAGGTATTATCGCCTTCTTGAAAAATTATTGATTGACTGCTCTCATTACTTTCAAGGGTCACATTTTCATCGAACTTTACATCCCGACTTATCACAATTTTCTTCGTCAATGGATTGTATAATTTATAACCCTTAGACCTTTCACTATATCCAACAAAAACGCATTTCAGAGCTTTATCATCCAATTTATTCCTTATTGCATTCGGTATATGGGCAAAAGCAAGACTACTGAAGATCTTTAGGTGTGAAACTTTTGGTTTAGAAAAATACCAGGCTTCATGTGGAGTCATGTTATTCAAACTTTTTGAGGGTGACCAGTTGATCAAATATACTGCACAAGCAACTGCCTCTGCCCAAAGTTCTCGTGGTAGTTGCTTTCTTTTAAGCATGCATCTTCCCATTTCCATAATGGTTCAATTTTTTCTTTCACAAACTCCATTCTGCTGTGGTGAATTTTGTACAGTCAGTTCATGTCTTATTCCAAGATTTCTGCACAATTTTTCAAAGTCCCTTGAAAGATACTCAGTCCCACGATTAGTTCTTAATATCTTAATAGAAAATCCAGAAAAGTTCTCAACTTCAGCTTTAAAATCTTTGAAAGCATAAAAGCAATCAGATTTTTCTTTAAGAAAATATGTCCAAACTATTCTGCTAAAGTCATCAATGAAAGAGATAAAATATCTGCTAACTCCAAGAGATAAAACTGGAATTGGTCCGCACAAGTCTGAATGGATAAGTTGTAGTGGTTGTCTGGCTCTCCAAGATGACTTGTGTGGAAATGAACTTCTATGTTGCTTTCCAAGTTGGCAGGCCTCACAAACTTCATTCAGTTGTTCAATCTGAGGAAGACCATCCACCATTTTCCTTTCTGATAACAATTTCAAGGTTCATAATTTAAATGCCCATACCTGTCATGCCATTGTTTCGAAATTTCTCTATTTGTGCTAGTGAAATGAGAAGCAACATTAGTAACTTTTAGTTGAATAGGAAACAGATTATTTGATGTCAATGGGATCTTTGTGACAATCTGATTTTCTTTGGTCAAAATGCACAATTTATCATGTAAATTGATCTCAAAACCATTTCTTAAAAGGTGGCCTGCACTTAATAGATTGCTTCGCAAACCAGGAACATAATAAACATCAGACATCTTTTCAAGCTTTCCCGTCTTAGTTTCGATCGTTATATCTCCAATCCCTTTAATTGCAAAAGCTCTAGCATCACCAACTTTGACTTGCCCTAATTTTGATTCCACCAGCTTAGAAAACAAGTTTTTGTTTCCAATCATATGCTTACTAGCACCGCTATCCAGATACCAAACACCATCATTTTTCAATTTTTCACATGTTAATAACAAAGTTTCAGAAGTGTACTTCTCATGACATTCATTTTTATGAATGAAACTAGTTTATGCTTTATCCTCATTTTTCTTGTTCTAGCACTCATTGCTTTTATGGCCAAGTTTGTGGCAGCATTCAACATATTCCTTTCCCTTATACCAGCAATTACTACTTTTATGATTAGTTTTATGACAGTAATAACATTCAGGGAATTCTTTTCTACCTCTTTGATGATATCCTCGGCCTCGACCTCTTTGAAAATTGCTTGTGTGATCATACTTTACTTCTTCTTTGAACTCTCCACCACTTTGAAATCCTCTTCCTCTTTCGCGAGAATGGTGGTCTCTCCCTCGACCTCCAGGTCGTCCTCTTCCTCTAAAGGTATTAGAATTAGAGCCTCCCGAAATTTGAGATTTGAGTGCTTGATCACGGAGTGAAGGATTCCTGTTCTTTACTCGCAGTTCATGAGATTTTAACGATGCAAGTAAATCAGCTAATGAAAGTGTTTCCAAGTCTTTAAATTCCTCAATTGTGGCAGCAGTGAAATCAAACCTTGATGGTAGACTTCGAAGAACTTTTTCAACAACTTTCTGATCTTCTAAACGTTCGCCATTGAATGCCATTTGATTTATAATTGTAGTAACCCTTGTGAAGTAATCAGAAATACTTTCTTCTTCTTTCATTTCCAATTTCTCGAACTCTAATCTCAAGGACTATAAACATACCTTTTTTACTCTCTCTTCTCCAAGGTGTGCTGTTTGCAAAATTTCCCAAGCTTGCTTTGAAGTTTCAGCTTTTGCAATTCGTCAAACACCAGTCTTTCAATTGCCTCGTAAATGTGGAAAAGGGCTTTACTGTCTTTTTCTCACTTTTCATTCAAAGCATTTCTTTGTGCTTGAGTCATTCCATCTTCAGTCTCCGGATCTTCAAAACCTTTATCAACAATATTCCAGAGCTTCATAGATTTCAGCAACACTTTCATATTGTGACTCCAATAGTCATAATCTTCCCCATTGAAACGAGGAATAAGAGACCAGATTACTTGGATTTGCCATGATTTTCTTTTCCAGGATATGTTACTACTATTTTATTCAGAGAATAATTTTTGTAATGGTCGAAAGCTCTGATACCAATTTGAAGGCAAGAAAAAATTTGGAATTATATTACCAGAAATCTTCATTCTTATTGCCTTAAAAGTTACTGCAGATTACATTTCAATTTATACATACTAGAGGACTCAGGGGATTGCATCAGAATAAACGTGACTATTACATATCCAAGAAGACTCCTTAAATTACTCAATCAATTGTTGGAATACTAGTAGACACTTGACTAAAAATAAAGTTCAGTAAATGATTTTGAATTCATCAGTGATCATTAATTTGGTTTATTTTCCAACAGGATTTAATCACTTTATCACATTCTGTCACATGTTGTCCCTAAACACAGTGTAACCAATATTTCATGTAACCCTTATTTGGCACCCTATAAATGAAAATGATAAAATGATGGTTGTGACAATGTATTTACATTAAAAAGGTTAAAATGTTTTTTATTCTAACACTTTTATGACATAGTGGTAAGTTGGCTTGTAACGCAGCTAGCTATTGTTGGAAGATTAGTTGCAATATAACTGTCAATACGTATTATTTATTAACTTGGGAGATGACTGCTGATGGAGTTGAGAAATTTGAAACCAAATTAAAGTTCCGATCCAATTGAGACAAATTAAATTTCAGTGATCTCAGGTGAAATTTACTCTTGCCAATAACTAGGACTCTGATAGTTTACAACTAAAAAAAAAAGGCCAAATCCTTGGCGGCGTGCAAAATACAATACTTACTTCCTTTAGCATGAAATGCAAGTTACAAGGGAAAAATGCTCAATAGCACATCACATGAATTATCAGCAACACATGGAAAGCAACATACTGCTCATTAGTAATTAAGCTCTTCTTGATACAAGGCTTTTCTTTCTTCTGTAAATTGTAGATTGCTTTTCTTGAATTTTCTGTCACTCTGCCTTCTCCTTCTTCTCAATATCTATGGCCATTGTTTCAAAATTCAACGTTAATCGACCAAACTTCACCAATAAGTTGTGTAAGTCACTTATAGTTTCTGGATTCATCCTGTATATATTCTATACCTTGTTGTCCAACCATCCATGTTGCTATTCTTCCACCATTTTTACCAGATTGAGGCAGAAAGATCCCAAATATTCCGATCCTCCTCTCATTCCTACCAATCTTAGCCATGTCGTGTTCGGTATAGCAGGCTCATCCAAAACATGGAGGAACAGAAGATGGTATGTTGAAACATGGTGGCGCCCAAATATATCTCGAGGCTATCTTTTCGTGGATAGATTTCCTATAGAATTTCTTCCATGGCCACCTTCTTTGCCTCCCTTTCGTATTTACCAGAATACTTCTAGATACAAAAAATATGATAAGCACCCAATCCCACAGGCCATTAGAATGACACACCTTATCTTGGAGACATTTAAGGCAGAAAACGAAGGCGTAAGGTGGTATATTTTGGCAGATGATGACACAGTCTTTTTCATCAACAATTTGGCCGATGTTCTTGCAAGATATGATCACAACGAGTTCTTTTACATTGGAATGAATTCAGAAAGTCATGCATCAAATGTTTATCACTCATTTGATATGGCTTTTGGTGGAGCTGGATATGCTTTGAGTTATCCTCTTGCCAAGGCACTGGTGAATAATTTGGATGTCTGTATAAAGAGATATCCAACTCTATATGGAAGTGACCACATTGTGCAGTCCTGTGTGGCTGATTTAGGTGTCTCTCTCACTCGAGAAAAAGGGTTCCATCAGGTAATAAGTCACCATCTGAATATTAATTTTACATATCGAAAGCATTTGATGCATTATTTCCACTTTTATAAATGATTTTTTACAAATTTTTTCCTAATCTATTTTATTTTTTTAATAAAATTAGGAAATCTTGGTGAAACTTTACTGAATTTTGATCAAAATAAGTAGTTTCATTCATTTCTCCCTTTTCAGGTTGATGTACATAGTGACATATCAGGTCTTCTATCAGCACATCCACAGGCTCCTCTTGTATCCCTCCACCACCTCGTTTACGTCGATCCAATATTTCCTTACATGAACCACAAAGAATCGCTGAATCATCTAATGGAAGCTGTGAAGATAGACGAGTCTAGGCTACTACAGCAAAGCATATGCTATCACAAGCCCAAAAACTGGAGCGTCTCCATATCATGGGGTATACAGTGCAACTTTATGAAGCCATCTTCCTTCCAAGCATGCTCCAGAGACCCCTCCAGACGTTTACGCCTTGGAGCAAATACGTCTGGCCTTCATTCCTTTTTAATACTCGAATTCCCTCCAAAAATCCTTGTGAAGCTCCACATTTCTTTTTCTTTGATTCTGTGGAAAATAAAAGCGAGGATTATTTCCTTACCAGCTATAGTAGGAGAATGCCTGCAGGTTCAATGCCGTCTTGCCCCTCGACTGGCAATCATTCTGCTAATCATATCTCCAAAATATATGTTCTCTCCCCTATATGGAAACATGATTCAGTGAGTATTTCTCCCTCTATCAACATAAGATGTTTGTTCTTTTGGCAGCCAATTTACCAGTTGTTCATAGCGTCTTTTTCTTTGTTGTTTAGATTGGAAGCAGAAGAGAATGTTGCGATGTTATGCATATGACAGGCACGAACAGTACTGAAATTAAGCTTCGTAATTGCTTAGAGAATGAAATAGTGCCCTGATCGAATGAAGGAGCCAGTATACACTGATGTTACAAGGAAGACCGACTAACTACGAGGATGTGTCGATCAAATTGTCAATGAATTCTGAAAGCAAATTGTAAAATTTTTCAGACAAACATACATAAGTGTATCATCACTTTGTTTTCAGTCTTTGGACGCATCAGCAGAAAACTCATTCACTTGCTATTCATTTTCCATGTTCTTTTCTCTAGTTCGGTAACTTCTTATGTAGTCAATATATATTGTCTCGAACTTTTTATACCCTAATACATTTTTGACACTTCAGCCCAACAACTGTTTTTCACAAATGAGAAGACGTTAAGGTGTAATGTGTAAAGACGTCAAAAAAATGTGTTGACATATTCCCATTTGCTAAGATGAAATGTATGCCAAGGTGTTGAAAATGTGTTTGAAGATGGCCAAAGGAAAAAAAATTTGCGACAATGAAATAGACTTCCATTCTCTAGAAACATTATATGGTCACGAGAGAACATAGAAATTGCACAAAAATTGAACTCCGACAAACTTTCTAATTGAATTAGATTAATATCGGTGGATCATTTATCAGTCATTCTTTGAATGATAAATAACTACAGTTTTCATTGCTTGATCGGAGGTCAAATCCAACAAAAAAATAGAAATCATGTGTATCAAATTATATGTGAATTGCTCAGTAATGCGATGACCTAGCTAGTTCGTCCTATTGATCCCTATTTGTTGAAACTCCTTTATTTTTTTCAAACTCATTTTTAATTAGTACCAAAAATTCACTTTTGCAAATTCTATAATCCTGTTGTTTGATCCGCATTATTTCCAAAATATATTTTTTTTCTCTCATTTTCAATCGCACATTGTTCAATAAAATAACATTAAACATAAATTCAAAACTTTTACTTATTTTTTAGTTGCCCCTTCTCCCTCAATATACTATTTCAAAATAGCTCCTCCAATTTCGAATTGTACGAGGAACAAGGGCACAAGCTTCCACTTTTGAAATCCTTGCAGCTTGTCACCGGAAAAACTCAAAAACATGTACCAAACCCTCACCACAAACCCACCTGCGTTTTTACATTCTAAGCATAATCCCACATTATCAACAGGCCCATCAATTTCGAATTGCATTTCACTTCGATTTAAAGCATCTGCATCTGCCACCACCGCTTCAAGCAGAACCTCTCGATGGTCCCTTCACGACATGACTGCCCTCGTCACTGGCGGCACAAGAGGCATTGGGTATCACTCTAAATCCACACAACACTTCAATTTCCCAATATATTCATAGAGTAATTGTCCAAAGATGCAATTTTAAATGTGAGTTCTTTCTTTTTTGTAACTATATGCTATAAATTAGGCTTTCGATTGTGGAGGAGTTGACTGGGCTTGGGGCAATTGTCCATACTTGTGCGCGGAATGAGGATGAGCTAAGAAAATGCTTGAGGGATTGGAAAGATGAGGGTCTTCGAGTCACTGGCTCAGTATGCGATGTGTCGTCTCTAGCTGATAGGGGGAAGTTAATAGAAGATGTGTCCTCTGTGTTCAGTGGGAAGCTCAATATTCTTGTAAGTCTATTCTTTATTCACCCATTCATCATGTTCTTGGTATATCTTTTTGGTTTAATTTTGTTCTATGAGATTGGTTTTCTTTGTATGTATATCTCTAGATGTTTCGGTAATAAATACAAATCGTAAGGTTTATGAAGCACTTGATCTTTGTAAGCCAACTACGGCATCAATGTCAATATTGTAGTGTCAAACAAAATACCCCATTTTATTGTCCATGAGCAAAAGGAGGGTTCGAAAAGAATTAACAAAAAAATTATTTATTAAGAATATAAAATTCTGAAGTGCTTTAAAAAGAGAACAAGAAACATCGAAATGATAAAAGTATATGGAACATTTGTTCATTTTGGGCATCATCTGCTCTGGACGAACCTTCTGGAACAGCCTTTAGGTTGTTCTTGCAGGGGCTAACATGAAGTGCCAAACACGAGATATATTTTCCACAGACCAAGGCCTTTTCAAATAAGCCAATTCGTTTGGAACCTTGTAGATCTGTTCTTTGTCCTATTCAAAATTAGCCCCAGGCTCCCAAAACTTCTGTTGCTGTACTGGTGAAAATTGAGGTTCCATACGTTTTACACCGTCTCTGTCTTTGACGTAGTTTATTGGAATCTTATGACAAGCAATTGTAGTGAACTCTAGTCAATAAACTATGATAGTTCCCCTGCTATTTTATTTTTAAATTGATTCTTCTTTTGTCTTTTACCGAAAGTTTCTTTTTGAAAACAAAACAGTTTGTGATGTTGAACTCAACACCCTATAGATAAGAAAAAATCAGAAGTACCATTTATATAAAAATACTCTCTCGATACATGTGACATAAGCATGAAAGGGGTTCAAAATTTAGTTTTCTTTATATAAGAGTAGTAGGGTCATTAGACATATTTGGGAGTCTATTATATCTTAGCATACGCCCACCATGCCTAGGCTATTGGAAGTATTGAAACCAAATATTGCTTATGAAATTCATAAATAGAGTAGTTAATAGTTGAGTTACAATTATCCTGTTCATGACTATTGAATAACCAATCTTCCATAAGTAGGGAAGGTATATTAACATTATGAATAATATTGCTATGGGTAATAAACTATAATGACTTAAAAAATAGTATCTTTCAAAAATCTACATATCAATCATAACCCAAGAAAATTATTGGATCTATTTTGTATCAATTTGAGTTGCAACATAGCTTCCTACGAGTGAAGTTGCAACATTCAGCAGCGGTTGGCCAATGACAAGAGACCTGCAACCTATAACTTCACTCTTTTCTTTCATTTATATCTTCGTTATTGTCTTTTTGTTTTTATTTTCCATTTTTTGCATGTTTGAGGCATGGAAGGGGAATAAATCATTGCAAGTGGATAACTAGGAGAAAGAATGGGAAGAAACTGGATTTGGAGGATGATATGGGAATCAAATATGCAAATGGTTCTCTTCAATATTATATTACTGGAGATGATATGGAAGACCTTTAGGTTATCTGTGGTTCCAAGCAGTGGATGTCAATTTTGTTATATAAGTATATGCATTAATTCAACACTTTATTATTTGCTAATTTATTTCATGTCTGCGTGTGCAAGTTAAACTTCTAACTTTGTTAAACTATTCTGTTACGGATTTTCAAGATGGTTCGTGATTTGTTACGATTATTATTTTGTAAGTTTTACTATTTTTGAGTTATATTATTGGCATTTAGGCCTCAAAGTGAGGCTTCCACTTCTCTTAACTCTCAAGGAGGTAAAACACCTCATTGAACCTATTATTAAAGCTAGTCGTATCTAATCCACCTCTCAAACACTCCACACATTTTGTTCACTAGATTTGAATGTTACCTATCTAACATCATTTGAATTATTTATTATCAAACATCATCTGAATTATTTATTAACTTGTCCACATTTGCAGGTGTAGATTGAATCAGTTTTTGAATTGTTTCTGTCAATCTTGTTCAACAAGGCCACTGTCCTTCATTAGTCTTCTATAATAGTTATTTAGCTTAGCTTCAACTGCTGGCAAACCGTGCAACTAAATTGCGGGACATTATGGAAAAATGGTGATTGAGTGGTGTTCCACGTATTGTGTATAAATGAATATTTACCATTTCCTAAATTCTCAATTTCTGATTTTCCACAGTTGATCTCGTGGTTCAATTTTTCTTCTTTATATCCTCTGAATATTTTCTTTTAGGCCGGACCTGATTGTACTTTCTATTCACTTGTTTTTCAAATTTCCCTTTTTCTTTTCTTAAATCAGTGTGTGTACGTTGCATTAGTTATAGCTTACCTATTAATTATATTTAGTCATCGAGTCACTGATCTCTTTGTGCTTTATCTGTATGATAAACTAACAAATTTTGGTCTTTTACTTATGGGATCAGTAGATAAACAATGTTGGAACAAATATAAGGAAACCTATGGTCGATTTCACAGCTGAAGAAGTCTCAATCCTCATGTCGACAAATTTTGAATCTTCTTTCCACATGTGCCAACTTTCATATCCTCTATTGAGAGCCTCTGGAGCAGGAAGTATTGTGTTCACCTCCTCTGTCTCTGGTTTCGTATCACTGAAGTCTATGTCAGTCCATGCAGCGACCAAAGGTAATTCCAGTGTCACTAGCCCCTGTTTGACAACCATTATCTGGGGGAAATAGAGATTCGAATGGTGATTTTTAGGAGAATGTGCAGTTAAGTAGGGAAATGTTTTGGATTTACGTGCAGAATATTTTATTGTGTGAATGTGTGATTGAAAGGCCTATGTAGAAAGAGAAGTTTGAAAATAATGATTGTCAAACAGGAGTTTAATCTCGACACTCGAGATTAGGGGCAGACCCAAATGACTTGGGTTAATGGGTCACAAATAAAATTTATAGAGTACCTAATTAAAAAAAGGATAAACAATTTTTTTTTTTTTTAAATCTACAGGGTTACTTGACCCAGTAAACCTCCCCCCCCCCCGCCCCCGCCCCGCCCCTGCTCGAGATGCAATATTACCATAATTATTATATCATGATTTCATTTATTTCTGTCACTTTAGGTGCGATTAATCAACTTACAAAAAGTTTGGCATGTGAGTGGGCAAAGGATAATATCAGGGCTAATGCTGTTGCACCTTGGTACATTAGAACCTCTATGGTTGAGAAAGTAGGTTTCTTTTCTTTTGCTACTTGAAAAGTATTTGAAAAAATGTTGTCATATATAGGTGATATCTAACTCTCGGATTACAGGTGCTCAGCAACGAAGAATATTTGGAAGAGGTATACGACAGAACTCCAATGCGACGGCTTGGGGATCCAATGGAGGTCTCATCTTTGGTGGCATTCCTTTGTCTACCGGCATCTTCATACATTACTGGTCAGATAATCTGCGTCGATGGGGGGATGTCTGTAAATGGGTTCTATCCAAGTACTAGTCCTTAGTGTGGAACTTTAATTTATTGAATGTGAAGCACTTCGCCACAAATTTGGCGATCTTTCCTGGGTACTATAAACTGTCTTCAACTCTCATTAGAAGCATTATCGTTCCATTTTGTTAGTTGAAATTTCGCATTTCTTCCATTCTAAATGCACTTTTTTACTTTTACAAGTAATATATGAGTTGTCATTTTTAACCAGGTGCAGTCACGTTCGCTGCCTTGTATATACTTCACATTTTTCTGCCTTTGTGTATTAACAGAGAATGTGGTTAAAAAATGAGAAAAAGTTTTGGATTTGCGTATAATATAATTTTATTAAAAAATGTATGGTTGAAAAGGAGAGAGAAAAATGTATTTTGAAAAAGACGGGATTCAAACAAGGGCTTAGATTTTTTAGGATACTATAAAAAATAACTAGATTTTGTTAAAACGAGTTTTAAAAGGAGCTTAGGCATGGCTGTGTACTGGCCGAGGAGTGCAGTCACTTGCGAGATGGTAAATGCCTCAAATGAATCAAGTGAGTAGGATGGATTCACCATGTTTTTCCTTAGCCACTGGTTCATAGTAGCAACGGGTTATGCTTAGTTTCGACTTTCAATATGTTGAACTCTGGATTTTTCACACTTCAAAATGGAGAAAAATACATGTCTTAGGCCAACCCAAATGATGTGGCATAGAGTATACAGATGCACTCTATTTATGTGTAACACAAGTTACAGAAACATAATATTTGAAACCAAAATTGGAATTCTGAAATCACAAAGTATTTGTTGCGACTTCCACAATTTTGCAGCAGTCAAACAAAACACATTTTTCAGATGATCTCTAGTTTAAAATTGGTCCCAAGTTTAGTGAGTGAATTAAGCAATTTAGCAACAGCAATTGGACTCAAAAAGACAAAAAACCTTCCTCTCAAACTCACCTAAGTTCTCATGGTTCTTTGACAACATCCTCCTCTCCATTACTCTTCAATGTCTTCAACTTTCTGTAACCCTTGTCAGTACCGAATATCCTGCCAAAAAGAAAAATACAGTTATAAACAACCTCACCAATTCCGTGTAGTGCACAACATTAACCATATCACCTCTTAAATCTTAACCTGGTTCGATCAAGCATTAGGTTCATCCACATAGCCACGGATAATGAAAGCCTAACTCCCATGTTTAAATACTAATACATGACATGAAAAAGAATGACAAATACAGATGAAAATTCACTACATACATAATTATATCCATTTTTTTCGCTCCATTCACACTATATACATTAAGGTCAGTTCTGCATAGTAAAATATCAAAGACCCAAATCATGCCTAAAACTGCAGGGCTAATGTGTGTCAATCAATTTTTGAGTATCAGTACTCTCAAACAGTAGCAATACGTGCCTTGTGTAGCATTTGAAGCCACTGATGCGCATCTACTAATAACCTGAAGTATTAAGAGGAAGGAGACAATGCAAAGCACAACATAATACTGTAGTATTGAAAAAGCACATCCCAATACAATTAAGAAAGCACACGGAATATGATTCATATGTCAATGATTGTCGTCACCGCAATTTTAGAATCTTCCTGTCGAATGGCCTGTTCTCCCCAATCGAAATAGATAGGCTAGTTCCTTCCTTAGAACCATTCTTGAGAGTTTCCTAACTCATACAGTTCAACAATCATTTGGTATCCCCCTTTAATCCACCATATCTAATGAATGACATTTCCGCTGGATCTATCCCATTTTGAGGGTTAACCAAAGGGGGTCATTACCTAAGTTTTAAACTGAAAATTGGATTAACAATTTATTTTATTTTATTTTTATCATTTTCCCACCTTCAGAAAAATAAATTCCTCCTATCATTAGAATTGTCTAAACCTCCAACAATAGCATCAAATTCAAGTGTGAGCCAACTTGAACTTTTCAATCTAATTCGTAAATTATCAGAGAAGAACAAAGCCAGATTTTTTCCGCATTCACAGAACCTGTCGAGCAATGCATTCTAATCACTTTTATTCTAATTATTTCAGCCCACATGCATACGACAAGAGTTGAGCATAGCCCAAAGAAAAATATACTGTGAAAATGTAACTTGGTGACTACTGCAACTAGACTAATGTACTTCATTCTACAACAATTTAGTCAATGTTTCTGAATTTCATGTTTGGCAAAGCTTAAATCTTAAGCTGGCCACCCACAACTTATAAGCACTTAAAAGCACCACCAAAAAGCTATAAGTAACACCAAATTATTAGAGATGTCAGTTAATCTTATTTAAGTTCTCCCTATCACAAGGACCAGAGTAAATTGAACAAGACAAGTCTACCAGGACTACATAAAAACCTTGATTCATAACTTGGGCCTTGGAATGCTCATAAAGTTATAAATGTCAAATGAGATGCGCTTCATATAATTTAGGATATGTACTTTATAATGCTTAAACGTAAGAGCAGATAATGTAGCACATGACTAATTTGAATTTGTCTAGTGATACATAATGGGGTGTACCGAATGGTGTACACTCCACTCCAATGGGTGTGGGACCCATGTGAAAGAAAGGATATTTTATTCGAGTGGGTCCCTCGTCCATGTGAGTGGAGTGTACACCATTAAGTACATCTCAATGTACCATTAGCAAAACCGGACTAATTTTATAGTTAGTGACATAAGCCAACTTTAGGTTGAACATCTCAAAGAGGCTTATTGAAACCTCACCAGTCCATGTAAACAAAAGTGGATGAGTAGTTGCCACTCCTTGTGTATAGCAGTCGGTGATGATAGTCATGAAAATCAGCACTGTGCAACCACAAAGAAATTTCAGTCATACAGGTAAAGTAAACCTCAGATTTCTTAGGAACAAAAGATAATATCAGCACAAACCCTCCGTATAAACGCAAGAAGTTTGAGAGGCTCCATGGGAAATGATAACCACAATGTGCCTCTACCGTCTCAAGGACTCTAAGTACCATCCACAGCCAAAGCGTAATCAGGTGGGGACCAGTGATGGCAGGACCAATTATAGTAGCAAATCCAAGAAACAATATCTCAGCAGGGTGAGCATATTCAGAAGTCAGTCCAAATGGTGTTGCATATCTGTCCAGATGTCAAGCTTAATGGTAAACACAAATGAAGATAACAAGTATAATACTTCATATACTAAATGGAGGAGCATAAGTAAGTAGTTATAGAGCAGCACTTGATGATGGCTACTTACTCATGATGGACACTGTGGACATGCTTGTAAAGCCATTTTGTATGCAAAATCCTGTGTCCCCAATAGAAAACGAAATCCTCCAGGATAAAGTAGAATAAAATCTGAATTGAGATAATTTTCCTACAGCACAAAAATCTGTAATTCAATCTCAGGAACAGCGGGTAATTCCTATTGCAATTGAAGAATGAAACTAAAATTAGAAAACAACAGAGAGATGCCATAGCAACTCTTATGGGTTCAAATTTCTCAGTCGACTGGAGCTTCTTGTCATGGGATTAGTTGCTCAGGAAAAATCAGTTTTTTGGCTCATTGCTCAATTATACGCATAACTACATACTGGAAGCATTTTCACCTCATTTACCCCTTCAATACATAACTATATATAAGCAGGCCTATGTGCATACGAAATATGGTTACATAGCAGAATAGAGATTGGTAGTGAAAAATGTTAGGTAATTTGATTATCAACAAAATAAAATAGAGGACAAAGGAAGAACAATAACAGGAAGTAAAATTAAATTATGTTATACAGTAAATCAAATTCATATTATTTGATAAAATATGATAATCCAAATTATTGAGAATCCAAGAGTTCCGGTCTAGTAACTAGATAAAGCACATAAAAAACCTGAATATACCAGGATGGTAATGGAAGAGTACTTCGCATCCCCATGTATCTGAAGATAGGATATGATAAAACCATAACTGGTAAATTGACACAAAGATGATAGAGGGCTAGTTGAGTGATGCATTTCTTCCGATCTGCAGGGGTGTTATTTTTAGTCTGTACCAACAGATAAAATAAGTCCATATATATCCACTGCTATGATTAGGTAATTATCAGCAGAAACAGAAAGAAATTACACAAGCTACATAAGCATAAACACGAGTAGACTGATTTGAAATATGAATAGTTTAAAATGTATTAGCAGCAATGCAGCTTTATAATTGCAAGACTTACAGATATTTAATCACGAAAATAATTTTGCAGTCTAAAATAGCACTCAACATCCTGATGCTGAATTCTGTAAGTGAAAAATATTGACAAACCCTCTTCAGATCCAATCTGAGGAATAATCCAGTGCAGTATTTTCAACTCAACTAAGGTACCGAAGCTAAAATCATCAAGGCAACCGGGTCTGATAAAGATATGTACATCCCATATATCTACCTAACAGAAAGCTTCCTAATAAAACTGGAGGCGAAGAGGAATATTTCGAGTAATAAAAGACTTTAGAAGCCAAAAGAAAACTGCATTATATGTTGTTCTCAAATTTCTAATTATATAAGCCCTTGTTTGGGCTCCATTAAAATCAGATTTTGGGGAAATGTAATTTGGGATAATGATTTTTTGAAGAATGTGTGATTAAAAAGAAGAAAAAGTTTTGGATTTACGTATAACATCATTTTATTGGAGAATATGTGGTTGAAAAGAAGATTAAAAAAATATATATTTTGAATAAAATGACGGCCTCCAACAAGCAAAAGCAGGAGGTTTCGGTTATGTCGAAGACCGAGGTTTGGTCCGCTTCGAGCCTAAACAGGGGCAAAATAGTAAATGTACAGTAAATTCTTTAAATATAGAAACAGTATGGCAAAAAAGCAACTAGCTTGAAGCATTATAACATCTTTATCATTTTGAAGAACAGTATCAATAACTAGTAAGAAGATAATCAGTCTCTAAAGAACAAAAAATAGCTAAAGAACCAGTAGAATAAAACCTGAATTTTGTACTTGCTGAGCCATCCTGCCCATTCAAAGCATATAAATGGAAATCCCGACAAGAAGAAGACACTTTCGTGAAGCAAGAAACTCCCAATACATGCCAATTCAAAGTCATTACGATGGGTGATAAGATACTGCAACAATATAAAATATAAATTGAAAACATGTATTATGTAATGACAATGTTTGATAATGAAACCAAATATAAAGATAGTTCTAAGAAACTGAAACCAAAATTGACAACGAATTGACCAAAAAACTAAAATTCAGAATGTAAAGTTGCTGATACCACTGAAAAAGATGAGCCACATACGTCAAAATTCCAAACATCTAAAATATGTGCTTATACAGTGCCTCAAACATTAAACTCCTATCTTGTATTCCAATAAGCAGTAACAAGGGCCACCAAAGGCACATAAATGCTGGAAAAGTGTAGACGAAAACAGAATAAAATGAATCATTGCAGAAATAATTTGTGGAATCTAAGTTTTTAAACATCCAACTGCACTGATTGGGCACACTCATTCGTAGAGACTGAGGGGGATGAAGACCACGAAGAAAGTTTCAAAAGAAATAATAAAATGGGTTATCAAAGGTTACGTGTTTAATTCCATCCGTATATACATTTCTGCACTAAAGGGAATAAAGAGAGTTTTAGACACTTAGTTTGGTGGATGATGACAAAGAAGTTCAGAGATAACAGGCTTCAAAAGTCTAGATATCCTGGAGCTTAAGATAGGCTTTCAAGGGATTCGAAGAGAAATTAATCTTTCAAGCAAAAGAAATAAGGGACAAAGGGCATTTAAAAGTTCCAAGAAAATCTCTACAGTCAGAAAAAGAGTTTTGATATTGAGAAAACCTTTAAACATACTGAAAGGCACCTTAACCTGAAGGAAGTCAATAGCTGCAAGAACTTATCCACATTTCCAAGACAACCGTATAGATAGAAATAAGTTGTTAAACACGAATTCTTCTATATAGTCTCGATTTCAATGAATATCAAGATAGTTTCCAAGTGTTTATTTGTTTTCTGGATACAGCCTAATATTCAAAAAAAAAGGTATTAATTTGACAGTAAACTTGGAACATTTTTTATCCCTTCGTGGAAAATAACGAAGAATTCCTATTATTACAGGCCCAATGATATGTCTCAGTCTAAGACTGCAACAGAAGATTTAATTTGACTTTCAAGCAATAAAAGGCCTCTATCATTGCAACAGACCACAGGGTCATACTTAACAGTTTACTAGTCCACTTGGTCCAATAATTCTACTGGCATTCCGATGAAATAATAGTATCGTCTACTTATTCCAAGTTGTTCATAAAATTGCAATCCCACACCTCTTGCATATATCAGAGTACCCATTTCATATGCTAGTCAATTAGCAAACTTATAATACATGTCAACTAAGATGATTCAGCATTCTTGAGTCTCTTTGAATCCAAAACACCACCATCAGCTCCCGAGGTTAGATAGGCCTCTTAAATTGAGAGTCAATCACATCGTACAGTTTATCCAACCATCTTCTTGATTGTCAAGCAATGTGATATCGTTTCTTGATTTAAAGAAAATGGTAACACATCAAGAACAAATTCAATATACTGCCATCTGATGAATTATCTATTAACTTGACAAAAAACTATTCAAAACTTGGATAACATCAACTGCAGTGCAGTTATAATTGGTCACAATAATTCAAACAAACTAAAAAATTACGACTAAAACAGGAAGTATTTACAGATTAAACCTTCATTAGGAGAACCATTAAACGATGCTATAAGTTACAGAAATTAGTACGAGTGATGCAGAAAAAAGCAATGCTCGAGCATGATTATATAAACCTAGTCCAGAAATCAAATCCACGGAAAGAACAAAAATACTAATAATTTGGAACTGAAAAGTTACCGTCCAAGCAGATTCTACGATAGAAGCCATGGCAATTAAGCGAATGGACACGGAATGAGAATTCGTGATTTGGACACCGACTGTGACTGACATCTACTTCTTATAGTTATAGGAAAACAATAAATCTTCTTGGACATGGCTACGTAGACAGGGCCCGGCACCAATTAGGCGCCGACAGCACTTCTCCTAGGAAAAAGCCAAGTGTGCACACACTGCTGGTACATCAGTTTAAATTTTTGTCACGTGGTCTGTTAAAGAGGTTGGAATTTCTATTACGCTTTTTATAATTTTTAAAAGAACCCATATTTGAGAGCCACCTAGACCGGTCCATCTCGTCTTCATTTTCAATTGAGCACGAAAACCCTCCACGAGCTGATGCGACCCAATGGGTTTGCTACCCCGGTGGACTTAGTGCGTAGTGGAAGGTAAGATGTTTTCCACCGCAATAAATTCCGCCCAACACACATCCACATCCCGCCAATGTTAACCCAAGCTTGAAAGCTTTCGATTTATCCCACTATAGCCAAGCGTGACTGCGACCACGAGGTTGCACATCCAACGAAAATCACATTTTAAATTTTTGGCCGAAGGGGATTCACCTACTTCACTTGCCAAAGGTAATTTCGTTGTAATTTTTCTGAAGTTGCAGTGTTTGAAAATCTGATTAATATTTTCGAAATTGGATATTTATCAAGATATTCACCTACTTTAAGGTTGAACCCCAACCTTGAAGGCCCCTCACCGCCCCTGTCCTGGAGTATCGTGATGGAGATAAATCGCAGGTTATGCCTTTAAGGGTACAGGGTGGAAGGCTGCTTGTACACTTGCACTTACTCAAGAGCCAAATCCATATTTCAGGATTCGAACTCTTGACGCAGCAGTCTCAAGTAAAGCTGGATTTCTCTACCCTCTTCTTTTACCACTTGGAGATGTGCCCTGGGGTCAAGATATTCACCTACTTGTGAAGGCTTTGGGGTGCCATAGGGATCAATGGAATAATAGAGAAAGGTAATTTCCTTATAGTTTTTTGAGGTTGTACTGTTTCGATATCTATGTATTTACACTGCTTCAGAAATTTATTGTTTCACTTTTGATATTATTGAAATAAGATATTCTAGAACATTTTAACAATACTCAAAATTCATATTCTCATTCAATATGATGTAGGAAAAGAAGTAGTGGAAGCATTGGGTGATGAAGTTTTAGTAGAAATCAATAATGATAACAATATGGACAATATCGTCTCATTGAAAGATGAGATTTTAGGAGGAGATGGTGTGATTGTGCTTAAAGTTGGTATGAAGTTCGAAAATAAGAAAGAGTTGTTTGAATTTTATAAGAGGTATGCATATGACATATGTTTTCCAGTTAGGTGGAAGAATTCTAGAAAGGGAGAAGATTGAGTAGTGAATTAAGTTACATTGACATGTTGTCGTGAGGGACGGAGAAGCAGCAAGGCAAGCGCTTCTTTGAAGCCACAACCAATAATTCAGACACATTGTAAAGCAAAGCTTATTGCTTCTTCAAATTTTCGGTCACATTTCGTTCAGAGGATTGCAATGTTATTTACAGTTGTCATTTATCCGAGTTTCGTGGAATTTTATGTAGACATGTCATATTAGTGTTGATGCGTAATGGTGTACATCACTACCAAAGAGGTACATATTAAGGAGATGGACACAAGATGTTAGTAGAGCCCACACGATAGTCGTTGTGAATTACGACGGTCTGGTTAGCACTCCTAGCCAGTTGAGGTATGGGCTCCAATCTAGAGCATCATATGACACTGGCAGCAGTAGCATACAAAGATCCTAAATGCTTAAAAAAAGAAGCGTACGCTGAAGAAATTTTGCCATAAAATCTCATTGGAGTTGAGCTCGAAGAAAATAAAGGTTATTTTTCTCACACATTTTTTTCATGTGTCATACATCGTCATGCAGGCAGGATCGACTTCCAACAAAGGACAGAGATTGAAAGTGAGGAAAAGAAATCTTCGACTCGACGCACCTATCGTTTAGTCCTCGCCGCAAGCACAATATTCGATGCTAACACGGTTCCAAATTCACAAGTCATATTTGTTAGTATTTATTATTGGTCAATGTATTGGAGGCATTTTTCTAATTAAATTTTCATGTCATGCAGGGCGACGAGGAAAGTCACGCACTAACACGACAATTGCCATCAACAAATTTTATTCCTCCATCAAGGACAAATGTTTTGTTCAAATATCGCGATGAGTATATGGTTTCAAATGTGTATTTAGCATACTCTTCCAAATTTTGTAATTGGGACAGCAAGTAGAACCTCTTCAAAATCTTCCGCAGTTTGATATTTTCATGTTTATGTTAGGTAATACAATGCCATATTACTATCCTGATTTGTCGTACAATGTTGGAACACAATTGGGAATCGCTGAGGAGACACTGAGACCATCCACAATGGGTGTTTTCCCTCTTGGATTTCATGGTGTAAGTAGTGTATTTTTTCTCCTTCCAACAGTTAATTTCAAACCATTCTCCAATTTACTTGCAATAACATTATGCTAAATGTCATTCCAGCCATCACCTCCACCAACCAACATAGCGGGTTGGATGTCCAATGCCACCCATACCATTCTTTATGTTGTTGTTGCGGAGGTCATTCTAGTCTCGTTCAAAATCCAAGTTCTGGAATGGCTCGTCAAGATCTTGCAAGTGATATTGCAATAACCTCTCAAGATGCTGGTTCATCAAGGAGACTACTATTTAATCCTTGTAATGCGACTCAATAGGCAGGTTATGAAAGCAATTTTTGAAGAATTTTGATTGTAATTTAAGCTAAAGGATTTCGGTCATGGAAATATAAATATGTAATGGAAATATGGAAACATCATTTGGGGGTCTGTACATATGTATATGCCTTTCTGATAATCAATTCAATATGCTAAATTTCTTCAATGGCTTTTGAATTAAACTTTTAAGTGCTTGGCAAGAGCCACATGAATGGGAAATTAATTGCTACGACAACGATGCCCTAGTTAAATATCAATACAATTTTTGAGTAAATCGTATTACATATGAAGAAAGTACTAGCATATCATACATAAACACTTGCTACAACAACAGTTCAAAAGAGTCATTTTCGTGATACACCATCCTAATACATCAAATTTCAGATTTCGTTCTCCAAAACTCATTTCCCTTTGCGCATATTTATTTTTAGTGAAATCTTCAAGTCTTTTTCCTCAGTTAGCTCAGCGAGCGTTTTTAACATTTGTGACAAATCATACACTTGTTCACCTCCATTTGTAATGCCACTTGATTTACCTTCATCATACAATGGACACTTTTTTGTTAGGGGATTTGTTACACCACTTGAAGTACCTACAGTCGCGAGTACAACAATGGAAGGTCATTGTTCTTTTCGATCTCCATCCATTTGATAAAGCCCAGACCACAAATTGGCACCTTTTCTTTCTTGGGCATTCTGGCAGCATATGTCCCATCTGTCTACAACAATAACAAATTTCCTATTCTTGCCTGCCATCGACCTAGTTTACTTCAACCACATCAACATGTCAACATATCATTCTCACAAATTAACATACAATATCGCTTCAGTTCAACCATATGATCCAACAAAACAAGTAATCGCCCATTCTCTCTGCTGTTTAGTGGAAAGCTGCTTATAATTGAAAGCACCGCTATAACATTTTCTTTGATCCAGAAAAATAAGAAATCATAACTACACCTCATTTGAAGGTTAAGATTGAAGCTCAGCATTTCAAAACTAATTTTTTCCTTACAACTAAAACTGAAAGAAAAGTGAAAAAGCTTAAATCCGAAATGTAAAACATGCTTTCATGCTTTTAACTGAATTTAAGTTGTGAAACTTACTTGAAAATCCCAAAAACGATGTTGAATTACTTGCCTATTGATTGCTTGACTCCAACACAGCCTTGTACCCACTTCTTGGTCAAAAACTCGATCACCAAGGAAGAAGTTTGTTGTTTACAATCCAAGAACCCAATTTGAGATGTTATCTTCCAAAAATCAAGCATTTTTCCTCATGTATTATTCTTCCACTCTCTTAACCCGAATTTTTCTTATTTTTTACTTTTTTAGAATAATATGAATAATGGAAGTTGATGAGAGTTATGGGTAGTGGGGAGGTTAACTTTCAAATTCAATTTTCAACCCCTCCTTCTAAAATTCACTTCCATGCAAATCGGGTCGGGTCAACCCACATGGGCGATCCGCTTTCTTCCAACATCTCCCACTCGCACATGATGGGCTTGACTTGATTCTAATCAATTAGATTAATCTCAACATCTCCAAGTTCATACAGGTAAATGGATCGTGCGACCGGCGAGTTAATTTAAGAGCACACTACACTATACACCTATAAGGGATATATAGCAGCTCCAAAAGAGGAATTATATTTCTCGTTATACCCCAAACATATTTTGGAACACTAATTCAAGTATTTCTGACCCCTCAATTTATTTTAGAACATACTCTCAACTTTCTTATTTATATTGTATTCACAATTGTGTTACAAAACTCAAATAATCAACATAATTGTCAGGCCGGTGAATACAAGCTGAGGTGTTAGTTAAATAGTCTTCATTTCCTACTTGAATCCCTTCATTTCAAATCAGTTGCTTTTCTAGACACGTCCCATTAAACCGAATCAACCATAGTTATTGGCAACATACTAAAGTAGCAACACCAAAATAAAATTATGAGAAACAGTCAAAATTCATAAGAGTATATATAAGTGAGGCCAAATGTGCCTCAGAGACTCACACAATGAAGAAGCAGGGATCAATTCTTTCATTTCTCATTGGTCGTTAAAGCACACATAGTATGAAACACATATTACGATATTTTCTCCCTTTCTTAGGGTGTATGTCAACTCTCGCAAATCAAATACATCGTACAGATCATAATTCAGATATTCCTCGATATCTAACCTGAGTTCTCCTCATATTTATTCCTCTAGGTAATCTCAAATTGAGAACTCAATCTGGCTGTAAAAACAGGTCTAATGGATAAAAAAAATTCATACCAATTATTTGTTGTAATCTCATCTTGTTATCACATCAAGACGACTGGATCATGTACATAATATGATCACTGTGTCTCATCTCAGTACACCTCAAAGTGTCTAAGGCAATTGTTCGTGTGAGTGAATCAACCTCAGCCTGTTTGACAAAATTTATGTGTGCATATGCAATTGTAATAAAAAAAAAATAACAATAAAATATTACTCTTAACATGTGAAAACTCAAAACATTGTTCATTAATGCACATTTATGAAAAAGTTTAAATAGTATACAATTCAAATTCTACGCAATCCCAAAGATTTAACATGTGTCATAAAAATATCTCTAGGGATGGATTTTGTAAGTGGATCAGCTACCATTTGGTGCGTAGAAATATACTGCAAACTTACTTCCTTCTTGCCTATGATGTCTCTTACAAAATTATATTTTGTATCAATGTGTTTGATTTTACTATGATACTTGGGATCCTTAGTATATGCAATAGCAGCCTGACTATCACAGTAGATCAATATAGGTCCTACATCACCACTAACGACTCTCAAATGCTGTAAGAATCTCCTTAACCAAACAGCTTCTTGTACTGTCGAAGCACATGCTACGAATTCTGCTTCCATTGTGGATAATGAAACACGTCTGTTTCTTGCTACTCCAAGAGGTAGTGCCATTATTAAGCAAGAATACATATCCCAAAGTTGATTTGCGCTCACTAGATCTCCATCCCAATTAGTATCTGTGTATCCTTTTAAGCACAAATCATTTCCTTGATAGCATAGTGAGTAATTAGTAGTACCCTTCAGTTATCTCAATATCCTTTTAACAACTTTTTAATGTTCTCTTCCAGGATTGGATTGATACCTACTGATCAGATCTACGACATAACAAATGTCGGGACGAGTACACATTATAGCATACATCAAGCTCCCAACCGCACTGGAATATGGAACTCTAGATATTTCTTCTTTTTTCTCGAGAGTTTTAGGACACATGCGAAGACTTAGAGTTTTGCCTTTCGATACAGGAATGTCAATGAAATTGCAATTCTCTATTTTGAAACGTTCAAGCATTTTCTTTATATATGGCTCTTGGGACAGAGCAAGAAGCCTCTTTGAACGATCTCTATGAATTTTAACACCTAATATGTAATCTACTTCACCCATGTCATTCATTTCAAAATTTGAGGACAGTCATTTCTTAATGATTTTAATATACTCCTTATCATTCCCAACCAACAAGATATCATCCATGTAAAGAGATAAAATTACAAATTTCTCGTTGGACCTTTTCAAATAAATACAGTGATCTTCATCCATCATGACAAAGTTGTACGAGATAACCGCTCTGTCAAATCTCAAGTACCACTGTCTAGAAGACTGCTTTAGGCCATAGATTGATCTATTCAATTTACAAACTTTATTCTCTTGACCTATTTTAATGAAACCTACTGGTTGTTGTATGTAGATTTCTTCATCCAATTTTCCATTGAGAAATGCAGTCTTCACGTCCATTTGATGTAATTCTAAATCTAAACGTGCCACGATAGCTAAGAGTAGGCGAATTGAAGTAAATCTCACTACTGGCAAAAAGGTCTCTTTATAATCTATACCCTCATGTTGAGTATAACATTTTGCCACCAAGCGAGCCTTATACCTCTCTATACTCCCATCAGCTCTTCGCTTTATTTTGAAAACCCATTTGTTCCCAATGGCTTTTCGACCAGATGGAAGATCAACCAAGTCCCAGACCTAATTTGATTTCATAGACTCCATCTTTTCTTCCATTGCATTCTTCCATTTTTCCTTTGCAGGATATGATAGAGCTTCTTGTACTGAATTTGGTTCTTTACCATCTTCATGAGGTACTAGGAAAACTTTCCCTTCAATCTCGAAATGACGTTTAGGCATACTTTTTCTTGTACTCTTACGAAGTGAAAGCTCCGATGTGACACCGTCACTCGGAGTTGGAGATAAATTACTCCCACTAGGATCGACAAGTGGAAGTGTTTCATCTTGCACCTCAGTTGATCCATCAAGTACAACTCTATCATCTAATTCATATAAAGGTTCTCTCTTTTTAATCTCTCCCCTACTAGGAAAATCACTCTCAAGAAATGTCACATCGCATGACTCTATCTCAGTTATAGTCCCATCTTGATTTTTACCAATGAACACATATCCTTTAGACTGGTCTGGGTATCTTATAAAGATACACTTCTTACCTCGAGCACCCAATTTTCCAAACTTACTTGAGGAATTATGGATTTAGGCAACTGATCCCCGGGATCTAAGAGAACTTAAATCAGGAGATCTACCCGTCCAAAGCTGATATAGTGTAGTAGATATTGATTTAAAAGGAACTCTATTCAGAATGTAGGTCGCAGTTAACAGAGCGTCTTCCCAATAGGAAATAGGCAAGGTAGCCTGCGCCATCATGGACCTCACATTTCTAGCAGCGTTCTATTCCTCCTCTCAGCAACACAATTTTGTTGAGGTGTATTAGGAATAGTTAATTGCCTAATGATTCCTTTATCATCACGTAGGTTTCTGAACTCTTCGGATAGATATTCACGCCCTCGGTCAGTTCTCAAGGCTTTCACATTTCTATCTATTTGATTTTCTACCATATTTAAATATCGTCTAAAGCATTCAAATGCCTCCGACTTATGAGAAATCAAATAGACATAACTATACCGAATAAATCATCTATAAAAGTAATGACATAAGAGGCTCCATATCTTGCCCTCACATTCATCGGGCCACATATATCTGAATGGACTAACTACAATTAAAGTTTGGCTCTTAAAGCTTTACGGAATGGTTTTCGTGTTGTTTTTTCGATTAGGCAATG